ATCCCATATACCCCCTGAACCACACATGCACAGCCACCCCCACTGTCAACATCTCCCACCACAGTGGTGCATTTGTTACAACTGATGATCCCACACTGACACATCATAATCACCTAAAGTCCAAAGTTTACGTTAGCGTTCGCTCCTGCTATTGTTCTTTCTGTGGGTTTATATCAATGCATAACAACGTGTATCCACCGTAATGGTATCACACACGGTAGATTCACTGCCCTAAAAATCTTCTGTACCCCATTTATTCATCCCTCACTCCCGGGAACCAGTGATCTTTTTCCTGTCTCCATAGTTTTGCTTTTCCTGGAATGTCATACAGTTGGAATCATACAGTATGTAGCCTCTCACATTGGCTTCGTTCACTCAGAAATATGCATTTAAGTTTCCTTTTGTCTTTTCATGTCCTGATCGCTCATGTCTTTCTAGTGCTGGATAATATTCCATTGTCTGAATGTACCACAGTTTATCCATTCACCTACGAAAGGACATATTGCTCGTTTCCCAGTTTTGGCAATTATAAATACAGCTGCTATAAACATCCACATGCAAGTTTTTGAACGGAGATAAGTTTTCAGCTGCTTTGGGTAAATACCAGGGAGTGCAACTGCTGGATCACATGGTAAGAGTATTTTTAGTTTTGTAAGAAACGGCAAAAATGTCTTCCAAAGTGGCTGTACCGTTCTATGGGTTTCAGCAATGAAAGACAATTCCTCCTGCTCCACATCCTTGCCAGCATTTACTATTGTCAGTGTTCGGGATTTTGGCCATCCTAATAGGTGTGTCGTGGTGATTTTGGCCATTCTAATAGGTATGTAGTGGTGTAGGTGTGAAGCCATCTGTATATTGTCTTTGGAGAAGTGTCTGTTAAGGTCATTGACCCAATTTTTAATCAGGTTGTTTTCTTATTTTGGATTTTAAGAATTCTTTGTATATTTTTTCTTTTCCTTTAAATTTTTAATTTTATTTCACTCACTTTTAATTTTTTATAGTGATAAAATATATAAAACATAAAGTTTACCATTTTAACCATTTTAAACTGTACAGTTCAGTGGCCTTAGGTGCAATCACATTCTTGTGCAACCATCACAACCATCCATCTCCATATATTTTTCATCATCCATGCTGAAATTCTTCACCCGTTAAACAACATCCCACACCCTCTTCCCCTTAGTCCCTGCTTACCACTACGCTACTTTCTGTATGAATTCGACTATCCCATGTACTTCATATAAGTGGAACAATACAATGTTTGTCTTTTTGAGTCTGGCTTATTTCACTTAGCATAAGTTCTTCAAGGTTCATCCATGCTGTTTCATGTATCAGTACTTCACTTTTTAAACTTTTATTTTTTTGATTTTACAATGTTTTTCTACATATTTGTGGGCTATAGGGTGTTATTTCAATACATACATATACTGTCAATTAATCCACTTAGGGTAGGTAGCATAGCTTTGTACCTGTTAATCAACCAGTCCCTGCCACCACACCCATCCTCTCCCTCCCTCCCCTGCTGGGACTTTGGTAACCATTATTCTACTCTCCACTTCTATGAAATCCTTTATTTTTTTTTTTAAGCTTCCACATATCATGTAGTATTTGTCTTTCTGTTCCTGGCTTACTTCGCTTAAAATGATGGTCTCCAGTTCCACCCATGTTGCTGCAAATGACATGATTTCATTTTTTTTTATAGCTGAATAGTATTCCATTGTGTATATACACTACAGGGTTTTTTGTTTTTTTTTTATCCATTCATCTGTTGATGGGCATTCAGCTTGATCCCATCTCTTGGCTATTTTGAATAGTGTTTCAACGAACATGGGAGTGGGGATGTCTCTTTGATACATTGGTTTCATTTCCTTTGGGTATATACCCAGTAGTGGGATGGCTGGGTCATCAGGTAGTTCAATTTTTAGTTTTCTGAGGAACCTCAATACTGTTTTCCACCAAGGCAGTAGTTCCTTTTTCTCAACATACTTACCAGCATTTGTTATTTACTGTTTTTGATAAGAGTTATTCTAAGTGAAGAAAGATATCACATTGGAGTTTTAATTTGCATTTCCCTGATGATTAGTGATGTTGAGCAGTTTTTCAAGTGCCTGTTGGCCATTTGTATGTCTTCTTTTGAAAAAAGTCTGTTCAGGTCAAATGCCCATTTTTTAATTTGGTTGTTTTGCTGTTGAGTTACTTATATATTTTGGTAATTAGCTCCTTGTCTGATTTGTAGGTTGCAAATACTTTCTCCCATTCTATACCTTGTCTCTTCACTTTGTTTAGAGTGTCCCTTGTTGTGCAGAAGCTTTTCAGTTTGACACAGACCCATTTATCTATTGCTGCTTT